AATATAATACTGGAAGTCCTAGCCAGAGTAATAAGACAGGAGAAAGACATACAATGAATCCAAGTAGGGAAAGAAGAAGTAAAACTATCACTGATTACAAATGATATGATAAAATACATAGAGAACCCTAAAAACTCCACAGGAAAACTAATTAAAATAATAAACCAGTTTAGTAAAGTAGCAGGATACAAAATCAATACACATAAATCAGTAGCCTTCCTATATGCAAACAATCTGAAGAAGAAGAAATTAGGAAAATCATCCCATTTACAATTGAAACAAAAAAAATCAAATACCCAGGAATAAACTTAATCAAAGAGGTGAGTGTTCTACACAAAGAAATGGAAAACATCCCCTGCTCATGGATTGGAAGAATTAACATTATCAAAATGGTCATCCTACTGAGAGCAATTTACAGATTCAACGCACTCCCCATAAAAATCTCAATGACATTCTTCAAAGAAATAAAACAAATATTGATGAATTCATAGGGAGCCACAAAAAACCTTGAATAGTCAAAGCTCTCCTAACTAAAACAAAGGAGAATGGAGGTATCACACTCCCAGTCTTGAACTTATACTACAAAGCCATACTAACTAAATTGCATGGCACTGGAACAAAAACAGACACACAGACCAATGGAACTGAATAGAAAGCTCAGAAATAAAGCCACACATATATGGACAACTAATCTTTGACAAAGGAGCAAAGAATATGCAATGGAACAAGGACAGTTTGTTCAATAAATGGTGCTGGGAAAACTGGACCACCACATGCAAAAGAATGAAACTAGAGCAGTACCTCTCACCATGCACAAAAAAAAAAAAAATGAACTTTAAATGGATTAAAGAATTGAACATAAGATCTCATTTTCCAAAGGGCTGATAAGGAATGATATTTTGGTTAATACCATAGAGGCATTTGTTTATCTGATTATTTATTGTCCATTGTAAAGTCCAAAAGTATAGAAGTTCTTTAGGATGGGACATAAGACTGTTGGATAGGTTATTAGGAGCAGGGGTCGAGTTTAGTAGATGTTTTTTATGCTGCAGTGGGCTGTAATGAAAGCCCTAGCTGCCTGCAGGGTTGCAGAAAAGGGGTGGGGGACAAGAATACAGAGATCATGGGACGATCAGAGGAAGTAATAGAGAAAGACAAATTCCTGGCCTCCTTCCCAATTTTCCATACCCAAAGACTTTATTTATTTATTCATTTTACTTAGTGACAGCAGTCAGGCTAAAGGAACTCAAGGAACTGACAAACATTTTGAAAAAAATTAAAAAAAAAAAACACATTGTACTGACTAGCCCTGCTTTCCTGGATTCAGCAGCATGTTTTCTGTCACATCCAGGCCACCTGGTCCAACTGCTTCTCTGCCGAAGTTGGCTGTTTACATAGCAACCCATGTCTTGATGAATTAAGAGAAATGCTTTAGGGTAGACAGCAATGCAGCACCTCCTAACTCCTCACAGTTTCCCTATTCCCATTGCTCTCCTCACCGTCTTGCTGGTTCCCATAATGAATCCTCCAAAAATGCGATTGGTCTTTTATAAATCAGCTACTCTGTCCAACAGATACATCATTGGAGAAAGCTATGTGGCTCTGTCCCATGCTCAAAAAGCCCATCTCATTTGTCCTGGAATTACGCCCCATCTCTGGCTATGCCTAAACAATGACTTCCAAATGTCTTGAATGTGTCCAAAATAGAAAGATCAAATGGGAATTTGGTGGTTATAAAAGATTAAAGTAGTTTTCCCCTAGAAGCAGAGATTTTGAAGATATTATTTGGCCATCATTTTGTCCTCTAGTTTGGTTCCCAGTATGTGCTATGGGACTGGCCAATTATGACTAGGTAAGGCAAATAAACAAACATAAAAACCCATTAAAGGCAGTGCTTGGCAAAAAGGTTCAAAGGCAAAGTTAATCACAGTTCTCAAACAAAGCAACAGGCCATGGTGCCTTTCAACAAATATCTGTTGAGCACCTATTTTGTGTCACTGTACTAAACACTGGGGAAACAGTAATAAACAAGAAAATCTATGCTTGTTATGTCAATGCAGCAGGAAACCATTTATAGCAAAGACCAGAATGAAAGCAAATAAAAATCAAGGCCTTGGGAAGTATAAATCTGATGTCAACATTTTTAACATTTTAAAATAGAAGACAAATATATAAATCATCTGTGATCTGTAAAAAAGACAATATCACCATGCAATAAGATTGTGATCTCCATATCTACTGTGAGACAACATAGGTTTAAGAATATTACACAGTCTTCTATACATAGTTAACATTGGGTGAGGCAATAAGTCCAGACCAGATTCTGGATATTTGTCCAGATTCCTAATATTCAGCACCATAATCAATTCTTAATTTGTGAAGAGAAACTGAATGTCTAATTTTATTTAATTTGAATTAGTTTAAATTTGGATAGCCACATGTAGCTAGTAAACAGTGCAAATTTAGTCTTAAGCTGCAGGTAATTCTGTGTGAAGGGGAATGTTCCCTTTTTTGAATTAGTTTATTCTAAATTGAGAAATTATTTATGGGAATAGTGAAATAAAAATCTCTATAGCAATAAGACTGAATAAATACCAAAATAAACATCAGTACTTGATTTAAAGAAAATGCTGCATTGAAACTTCATTCACTAACCTGGCTGAATTTAAAATAAAAGCAATCAAAAATGGTTTGAATATATGTGACTGATTTTAAAATTAGTGCTTATTATTAAAGGAAAATAACCCACGTATAGACAGTTAAATTAACACTAAAGCAATTTAGATGCCTGTATATTGTTCTTTAACACCTGCAATGTGGCAGGTACTTTGCTTATAGGGAGATTGTGATTCTTCTAATATACCATATACCTCAACAAAATTACCCCCCACATAGCTGTATTTAATCTCATGCATTTGAAATGATTAAATTTTCTGTAACTTTGTGTTTAGTTGCTTCATTTTGAAATAGGAAGTAATACAAACAAATGATCACTCACTTTTTGGATTTGACTGCAAAACCAAAGTTCAAATATATTACTATTTTAAAATACATAGCACATACCTCCAGAAAATGAAAATATTAACCTCTTTCCAACATATATTCCAATATATATTACAAGTACCTAAAATGTTGTGCATGTACATTTTACAGAAGACATTTGGAGTTAAAGTTATTTTCCTGAAAGGGAAATTTAACCTAAGACTTCCTGAGAAGCCATCGGGAAGATTTTGATGAAAATCTATTTTGCATTGTTATAACAAAAATTGATTTTAAATATGTCTGTGAGCATCATTTCTGTGTTTCAGTTTGGCAATTCCTTCTTTCATTTTTCCAGCCTATAGTTAACTTATAACAATGCATAAATTTAAGATGTACAATGTGTTGATTCGATACACTTTTATAATACAGAATGATCATTAGTACAGCCTTACCTAACACGCACATCACATCACCTTATTACCATTATTTTTTGTGATGAGAATATTTAGGATCTACTCTTAACAATTTTCAGACATATATAAAGGAGTATTAACTACAATCAGTATGCTGAACAGTAGATCGCTGAACAGTAGATCCCCGAACTTATTCCTCTTAAAAGTGAAAGTTTGTACCATTTACCAGCATCTCCCTCATCTCCAGCTCCTCTCAGCCTACAATGGCCATTGTAGTCATGTGAGTTACAGTAAAAACCATTCTTGCAAATGTTTCAAAACTGGTGTTTATTATAGTGTCAGGTCTCACACAGGGGAGTGGGTGCTGAGTACAGGCATGGTTTGGGGAGTGCAGTAGGTCCACAGGCGATTCAATTAGAAAGATGAGAAGCTCTCTTAGAAGAGACAAAGACTTTCACTGTCTAAAAGTTATAGCATAAAATGAATATTTCTGGGGGAAAGGGAAAATAGTAACGTGCTCTCACCAGGATGTAAACTGAAAAAGGCAGCTTTTTCCAGCTCTAAGTCCCAATTAGATCACTGAATAAATACGGTATTACCTTCTGATAATTTCTGACTCCAGGGAACATATACATTTAAACATTAGTAATGAACATTTAGAGAACTGTTACTGGAAAGCATATAGTTTTGAAAAGTAACATTTTTCTGATTATAAAAATAGTATATTATTCTTTGCAGAGACCCCAGAAATCATGAGAAAGCTATGAAATAAAATTAAAATCCTCTATAACTCCATCATCCAGAAATAATCACCGTGAGCACTTAAGCATTTAACTTTCTAGTAATTTATTCTGGGCATATGTGCAGATCCTGCTTTTTTACTTCATATTTTATCCTGAACATTTTCTTGTGTCATCGAATACACTCAGTAAACCTCATTCTAATGACTGCCTACTATTACCAATGGCTTTAAAATAGCATTTAATATACCATTTAAATATATTTAAATATTATGGATTAAACAATATTATTATATCTACCATGGACTTAATTTTCATTAGAACAGATTCAAAAAGTATCTGATATTTGTAAAAACGATTTTGTTCTACTGAAATCTCATTGAGTACAATGATAAATCAGTCACAAATTTTCCAAAATACAGTCTTAGTCCTGGAAAAGGGCAACTCCTTAAGAAATGTTGGCAAGCAAATCTCACCAGGCCCCCCACCACCCCCACCAGCCAGTCTCTGCCTGCTGTGGCAAAGCAAGCCGCTCACGGTGAGCTTAAAGGAAACACTCAATTGAAACAGAGGCAAAAGTCGTATCCTTAGCAAATTAGCTTTCTAGTAAATTCGTCTATGCACCTTCGGAACTAAAACCGAAAGAAACAATGATTTTTTCTGAGAAAAAATTGAATTCAAAAGCCACATAAAATAATTTGCTTTGCAAGCCAGCTCCTCAAAATGCCAGCATGCTTCATATTTGCTAAACAAGAGTTCTGGAAATTATTTTACGCAGTCTAGTAAGCACAAGTCCTTGAGATTTCAGTTTAAAAGGGAACACCATTCCCAATAAGTATTGGTGCTTTAGAGCTCCTTTCCTTACCTGCAAGGCAGTTTAGGATCAGGAAGACCTTCCAAAATACGAACACCATCATGTTGAGGTTCACTGAGCGCGGCCAGAGGCCAGTAGCTTGCTTGGGCTAAGCTGAGTCTCAGACTGGCTTCTTCTATCACACTGAGGTTTGCCAGGCTTATCTGCTGGCATCACCAAGCAAACAAGCCTCTTCGAGCTTACTTATTGGGTACAAACCTTTCTCAAAGCAGATTTGTGTTTCTTTGAAACACTTTCATGGGGCGTGTTTCCTTGATATATTTGCTACTGTGTTAATAATAAACCCACACATTTAAATGCTTCAGACTCTTTGTACATGGATTCTTTGAGTTTTATTGTTTAAAATCAGTCTTACTTAAAAATTATATTGGGGAGGAGATATAGTTGGAACGTAGCCTATGAAAATAAAAGCTGACAAGGCTAATTAATTTCAAATATTTTCATGAAAGTATTAGAGAATTGATTCACTAACCCCATTTTACCAATTAGGTTAGTAAATTGGTGCTGTTAGATTTTCTCAGGAGATTTGAGTTCACAGGAAGGGCACAGGGATTATGAAGCAAAGAAAGGATTCATTTCTAGGTGAGCAAATTCCAGACAAATCACACTTTTTTGAAACACCAGCAGGTCTCACCACTCACCAACAAAACTTGCAGTAGAATGAATTCCAGGCTGGCTTATTCTTTTGGGTTATTTATTCGTTAAACTAATTTTGCAAAGCCAGGTGAGTGAACAAATACTTTAAGACTTACATTCGATGAATCTGAATTCATCTACTATAGAGTTTCCTTAAAAAGGGGGTTCACTGGAAGAGAATGGCAGGCTGCACAGGTAGGTAGCCTCATGGGAACATGAACTTGTAACTTAGCACTAAAATCTCATGTTTAAGTTACACCATAAGGGCCTCCTCGTCCACTGACTCTTCTCATGGGATCTCTAAATCCTGTTGTTTCCATCTCTACAATGATTCTGAGATTCGTCTCCTGTCCACTCTGCTGCTTGGGTACCTGGTCCAGATACTCAGCTTCCCACCCCTGGTCTACTGTAGCAGCTTCTTAAATGGTTTCCCTGACTTCTTTCTCCTTCGTCCTGTGTAATAACCAGATGTCAATATTCCAACCTGATCAATCATCTTCACTAACAACATTATGGGCTCTTTCAAGTCCGAAGTCCTTAATCTGGGCTTCCCAGTCTTTCAAGATATGCTCCTTGCCTCCTCTGAACCTTAGTCAGGTTAAATCACTCACCTGAAAAATGCTGTCAAGATTTATTGCCTCAAAGTGTTCATTCACATGAAATATATGCAAGTTTCAGCGATAAATTTAAGAACTGTTTGACCCCAACTCACCTTAACCAAGCTAATTTCCCACTGCTTCTCAGAAAGGAGCAAAACCTCAGAAAGGTTTTGAAGAGGAAAACTTGCAGAGATCTTTGGAGGGCTGCACCAGCTCTTCTCAACTTCAGTTCTGCCTTTATATCTGAGACCCCCAAGTCTCCAAAAGGCCCATGGTTCTTCTAATGGCTCTTCTAGAAGTATCACTGGCTTTTTCAGTAGTGGAGAAGTGGGTTGGGGAAAGAAATGTCTAAGCTTGGTGTTCATAAGCCAGGGGTTTCCTGTGTTTCTTCCGTACCCCACAGGTGAGCATAATATGATGACCATATAATTGATCATTAAAACAAGGACAATTTTGAGACACTGTTAGCAATTGCATGAGACAGCATAAACTGTAATAGTCCCTGGCAAACCTGCTGGTTGACCCTGAAATAGGTGGGATGGAGGGTGTGATTTAAGGCTATTGTCAAAACACATCTGCAACAGAATTTCTCATGCAAATACAAAACACTCAGGAACATTTAAATAAAGTGCCTTACTTAGGCATTAAATAAAATGCCTAAATGGAGCCTAGCTATAACATGTAGAACTCCATACAAATAAACTCTAAGAGATCATCTAAATTCTCTGATTTAGACTGAGTTTTGATGTTATTGATTATTGCTCAAAAGAAGTGGGTCATTAACTGGCACATGAAATATTAATAAATGTATTTCACATTTTTCTGGGCTATTTTTTTTCCAGTGGCTTTTCCATTTTGTTTTTGTAACTGGCAATAAAATAAATAGGGCAGGCATTAGCTACATACTCTATAAACAGAGACTCAGAAACGTTGTGTCTTTCCCAAGGCCACATAGCGCCCATTAGCAGTTGTACCTCCCAGCAATGTGAATCTATTGTAACAAACACACTGCTGTCTCCAGGATTCTTCCCTGGGAACTTTTAGAAATGTGCTCAATCTGAGGTATCCTTCATTTTTTTTTTACTTAAAAGTTATAAAATTAATACATTTTGATTGTCAAGGGATTTCGAAGAACAAAGAAGTATGCAGAGAATGGTCTGGGAGTAACTGCAGAAGTGAGTGAATGGACTCTCTTCTGTATGTCTGTTTTCCAACTGCCTGCCAGGCATCTCCACTTACATGCCCCACTAATGTTTCATACTGAACCTCACAAATGTCCTCTGTCTCCATGTGCCTTACCTTGTGCCATGATTACTGTCACTAGTGTCTCCATTATAACTCTTCTTTGGAGTATTCCTTGACTCCTACTGTTATTCATTCTGCCATTTCACCAGTATGAAATCCTGTTGAGAACTTCTCAGCTCATCTTCCCCTTTCCATCTTTCATACTCTTGTTCATCCCCTGTTATTTCTCATTTAGGGGGTTTTGGTAGACTTTCAACCCATCTCCTGGCCTCCAAATTGCCTCTGAAATCTATCCTTTATAATCTTGTCCATAAGTAATACTTAAGTTCAATCTAATCATGTCTTTCTCATGCTCAAGAATCTTCCATGACTTCCTGTTACCTTTGTGCCTAGACATAAACATCTTTATCTGGCATTCAATAGATACCCAACATACTCATTCTATTTTATGCCATTTGTTATACTAGAGAATATCAGAGTTGGCCAAAATCTTATAAGTGGCCTCTAATACTGTGTTCCCTAACCATATGCCTCACTTTTTCACCCCTGTGTCTTTTTTAAAAATATTTATTTATTTATTTATACAAGAACCGGGGCACAGGTCAGATGCACAGGAGGATGAGAGGATTCACCAGAGACAGCGGGGAACAGAACAGGCAGACTGATGAAATACACTGCTGAGGGGAGCAGTGGGCACAACAGGAGGGGTCTGCCATGCCATGTAGGACCCTCGCCGGCTGGAATTGAACCGGCGCTGCAGAGGCTGCAGACAGCTTCACAGAGCGGTGCTCAACCACCTTCGCCACCAGGGGAGGCCCACACCCTTGTGTCTTGACAAGGCTGCTCTGTCTTCCTAGATCACCCACCCCACCTATCTAACTGTCAAAAATCTACTCATCCTGTGAGCCCCATCACAAAAGCTAACTCCTCCATAAATTGGCAATTGGCTCCTGATCCCCACTGATGTGATTTCACACAACACTTAGACTATACCATTGCTATTCATGTACTTGTCCTCATGCCATTAGGAAAGCAAGCTCCTGAGGAAGATGAGGACCATGTTTGGATGATTGCACACACACACACACACACACACACACACCACCACACTGCAACCACCACCACCACCACCACCGCCATCCTAAACACACTGAGCTTCCTATGGGCCAGGCATGTGCTACATGCTTTATATGTATTATCTCATTTATTCCTCTCCACAGAGTTATGAGACAGGTAGTATTACCATCCCCATTTTACAGGGAAATTAAACAACTTGCACAAATCTCATATAGCAACAGGCAGACTCAGGATTTGTATTCTCAGCCCTCTCAACAAACCTCAAAAATCCACATCCTATCTCACATGCACAGTTAGGTAGTTTTCTGTTCCCTTCAGTGGATGGTACCTATTATTTCCTGATCCCCTCCCCTTCCTTATTGCACACATCTTGTGAGTGGTTATTTTTTATCTTGCTTTATTAGTTCCCTGCTGTGAAATGGCTGCCAATCATCGTCCTCACAATTAAAGCTGTTGTTGGTCGAGACCTCAGTCCTCAGAACCACTTTGTTATGAAATCTGAGGCTCAAAGAACATTTTCCTAAGAATATAAATGCCAGGAGCAGGACCTTAGCCCCAGTCAGCTGGTTTCAGGACATGTGCTCTTCTGGTACAGTGTGGCTTTAAGAACCTGGTCTAGTAAAGTTTGGTGAATCCACTCTTTCAAATTCATAGTTATTCAAAGCAACTACTTGAAAGGCTTACACTCTGACGGGTGCCCGGATCTGCTATACAGTCATGTGTCACATAATGACATCTCTGTCAACAGCAGACTGCATATAAGACGGTGGTCTCTATATATGCCATCTAGATTTGTGTCAGTACACTCGATGGCATTTGCACAACAACTAAACACAGCCCCATCCTTAGGTGACACATGATTGTATCGCTTCAAAAATAACCTAGAATAACATCAACAACAGCAAACTTCCTTATTCCAACTTGAAAATAATAAAAAGCAAAAGTAAAAGTAATAAGAAAAAGTAAAAGTAAAAGTAAAAAGAAAATAATAAAAAGCAAAAGTACATAATTCTATTCTCCAAATCAAGAACTAACATATCCCAAATAAGAATTCTAGAAAGGGAAATTCTTAAATGAATTCTATGATGTTGATACCCAGCATGAGAGCTCCCCCTTCTCCTTCCTGTCCTCATTCTAAAAGTAGAATTTCTCTCAATGATCTACTGGTGTGAACAGTCTTCAAATATGCTCTCTGAACACCTTACTAGGAGCCTTCTAGAGGCCTCCAGACAACTTCCATAAGTGGACCTCTATAAGGCTGTGAAACAAGAACACTCCAGGACTAGATTTCGGTAAGGCCATGGAGACTCCTGTCTTCTTGAATTTGGGAAATCTTTGTTTTCTATCCTGGAGGGAAGAATCATGCCAAAAGTTCTCCTTTGGCAAGTCATGTCTTAACAGTAAGTATGAGTCAGCTCATGTCGAGAGGCCTGGGATTGCTTACCTAGCGATAATAGAGAGACTGGAAAAGGTTAGTACCAGGAACGCTATGTTAACCGATAGTGTGACTCAACCTGCTGTGTACATTAAAGTGTTTGGGGAAGCCTACTCCTAGGCAATTTGTGTTGACGCACTGTACAAACACATGTAAAAGGCTCCACTTTGAAAAAGAATCACATGTATGTGTGGGCTT